GCCAGGCTGCAGCTGGCAAACAAATCATAAGCTTTCCCTGGACTTCTCCGACAACTATGCAATGCACGCTCACGGGAGCTCCGTGCTCGTCGTCCCCACATGGCAACAGGCATAATGGACACAAAGGGTCGAGAAATCCCTCCCCGACAGCAGCACACTCCCTAGGCGTAAGAGTTTCTCCATCAAGTTCGGGTTCTTCCTCCATCTTACCAGTTAGAGGGCAAGGCAAAAGAAGCAGCAGAACACACGGCAATAATGTCCTGTCGAGCTGGCAGCCCTACAAAAAATGCTTTCCCCACAATCGCCTCCTTGCTTGCACAAACGAGCGCAGTCAGCAAAGGAGCTGCACACGGTAACGGGACGATGGGTAAACCCTGCGAAGTCACGAACTACCAACCTGCACCTGCTCTGCAAACCTCGGGGCCTGTCCCTGCCACTTGCACCTCGATGCTCGCCTTCCAGTGCCGGGACCCAGCCTGGCCTGCAGTGCAGCAATCTGCTGCCTCAGCTCCACAACGAGTTTGTACCCTGAGCTCCAAGCTCATGCACGCTCTTCTGGAGACTACTTATAATCCGGTACCTGAAAGGGGGTCGGAGGAGCCTATCTATCCTAACCCAAACCAGCCCTCGCAGGCAGAGCAACAGCTCAGTGTCGGAAACAGAAGCAGTCCGATGCACAGCCCCAACAGCACAAATGGAAGATGAAACCTGCCCGTTTAGGGCAGCAGTGGGGCACACAGGGCAGTCAAGAAAGGTTGGTTCGGAGGACTCGAAAAGACGACCGAGATGAAGCAGCAAGGAAGTGACAGAGAGACCGGCCGACGACTGGACAAGGGCCCTGGACATAAGCCTGAGCCGAAGTTCTGCGAGCCTCCTCCATTGCTAAAACATGCGGGTGCATCATCATCATCATCATCGTCAACATCATTATCAACAAGAACAAGAACACCAAGAACACCAAGAACACCAAGGACACCAAGGACAACAAGAACAACAACAACAACCACCACAACAACAACCACAACCACAACCACAACCACAACCACAACCACAACCACAACCACAACCACAACCACAACCACCACCACCACCACCACAACAACAACAACAATCACAACCACAACCACAACCACAACCACAACCACAACCACAACCACAACCACCACCACGATCACGACCGCAACCATAACAACCACAACCACGACACTAACACCAGCTCCAATACTAACAGCAGCACATCGCAGAAGTGGCAGCGGCAACAGCAAGCCACCACTACAGCCAACACCACAACGATCACGACGACGACCTCGACGATCACGACAACCACGACCACTACCACCACTACAGTCGCTGCAGCAATTGCGACCACTGTCATCACTAGCACCACCACAGCCACCAGCGCCGCCACCATCACCTGCTGCAGCACCAACACCGGCACCGGCGCCAGCAGCAGCAGCAGCAGCAGCAGCACCACCACCACCACCACCACCACCACTGCGACCGCCTCAACGACACCACACCACCAACACCGGCAAGAATAGCATGTCAATCATGATCATAGACAGACAGGCAGGCAGGAAGGTATCTGCAAGACCGAAGTAGCAGTTGAAAGAAAACGAAAGTTGCGGATTCTGGTAGCTTCAGGGCTTGCACCAAGGACTTGGCATGATTTGTGATTCGCGAGGTCAATTCCGAGACATAGTCAGATTCGGATGATACAACAGGATTGCTTGTTCTTCTTATCTACCGAGTTTCCGCAAGGACGCGAAGGTTATAAAGCCGACATTGTTGAGAGGGTCTATATCCCCAAATGCCAACTCCCAGGGTAGGGTTTTGGCGGTTGAAGAATGGCTTTACTTTATAGCTTGGGGCTTAATGCTTGGGGGCACTGCTGCTGCTGAACGCTGCTTCATGACCTTGGTCGTCTCCTAAACTCTAAACTCTTAACCCTAAACCTTAAACCGTTAACCTTAATCCCTAAACATTAAACCCTAAACCCCTAATCCCTAAACCCTAAACATTAAACCCTAAACCCTAAACGCCTAAACCCTAAACATTAAGCCCTAAACCCTAAACCCCTAAACCCTAAAAGCTTCACTCCTCAAGCTCTAAACGTTGTGACCGCAACCTTCGGGGTTGCGAAACCTCCAGGTTAGGATGGGTTTAGGGTTTAGGGTTTAGGGTTTAGGGTTAGGATGGAGAGCTTGTCTGTGGACTGCCAAGGAAAGGCTCCAAGTAGTGCATCTCGGATACACCATACCTTAAACCCTAAGCCCTAAACCCTGAACCCCTAAACCTTCGTATCCTGAACCTTAAACCCTGAACCCTCCACCCCTAAATTTAGGCTAAACTATGCCCTTTTTGAACCCTAAACCCCTAAACCTTCGTATCAAGCTCATACGGCTGCTGGCTTCCGGTCTGAAGAAACATTCCAACATCGCCTTGTTGAAGCCATATGGTAATTCTACAAATTCGGATCCCTTTTAGGTCCTTGTTGTAAGGGTGCCGTACTAAGCCGCACTATCTTGGGGGCCTAGAAAAGGACCCTAGTTTAGGGAACTACACATATTCCCTTCGCCATAGATTAGATCCTTGACAAGAAACACTGACATGAGAGATATTGGAACCTCGCCAAAGCTAAAGCCTAAATCGACAAGGGTTGGAACACAAAACGAACCCTAAACTCTAAACCCTAAACCCTTAACCCCAAACCCTAAACTCTAAACCCTAAACCTAAACCCTTAACCCCAAACGCTAAACTCTAAACCCTACATACCCCCCAAGTTCCTAAACCCAAAACAAACAAATGGCCTTTGCCTCTTCGCTGAGGACCAGGCATGATCTTCGTAAGAGTGCCATGCACGATCGCTGGAGACAGTTGTTTAGGGTTTAGGATTTAGGGTTTAGGGTTTTAAGTTTTGGCGCTTGACAGCCCAGAGCTGCGGGGTCCCGGCCCCTAAACCCTAAACCTTAAACCCTAAACCCTAAATCCTTAACCCTAAACCCTAAACCGGCTGAGGATAAAGACACACATGACATGAAGGGCTCTCGAGGATGCTGAAACAAACAAGGGTAGCTCTCCAAATTAGGGTCCCTTCTTTGGCTCCCAAATCCAGCACGGCACCCTTGTAAAAGGACCCCCAAATGGACCCTTAGAGGACTGCCCAAATGATGGGCAATAGGGAGTTAAGGTTTGGGCTTCAGGGTTTAGGGTTTAGGGTTTAGGGTTGCCCTAAACCCTAAACCCTAAACCCAGATGCTGGAAAGCTCTCTGCAAATCCCCTTCGAGCCAGCAGAGCGCGCCCACAAAGGAGACAGCATCAGCCCCCAACCCAGACACTCCAAGAGTTCCTACACTCTAAATTACGGTTTAGGGTTTAGGGTTTAGGGTTTAGGGTTTCTAATAATAATATCTGTAGGAACCTGATTCAGAAACCCTGGGTCTTTATTAGGGTTCTCAATATGAGCCCTAGTATATTGGGGTTATAGGGCCAGGGTTTCTTAATCAGGCTCCTACATTACACTCTACATCCTAAATCCTGAACCTCACACCCTAAACCCGAAACCCTACATGCTAAACCGTCAACCCACAACCGCGTTGATTCGCGAAGATGGTGTGCTACGTCGACGTAAAGCATGCTCAAGACAGAAACTCAGAGGGAGATCTTGCCCCAGAAATTTTGGAGTCTCTCGGACCACCGTCCCGTCACTTTGGAGATGCCGCAACTTGAGCCTTTACAGAACAAGCCTGCATGGCTGCAACACTTCTGGTTGCCAAAAAAGCCGAGACAAAGGCACCTTGTGGCCGTCTCAGCTATTTCAACCGAGCACGCATCTCCCGATTCAACCGCCCCGATTCACATCCCGCGACTTGGCTAACCCTACACCCTAAACCTAAAACACTAAAACCCTGGACCCTAAGCCCTAAACCCCTAAACCCTAAACCCTCTCTAGAGCCCCGCCTCTCAGTCACCGGTCGAGGCCCCCGTCGTCATCAGCAGCATCATCAGGGTAGTAGTAGTGCTCCAAGGTGTCGTAGGTGTAGGGGGTTCTCTCCGGTGCGGTCCAGTAGAGGATGTCGTAGTGCGTGTAGCCATCACTTAGGATGCAACAAGAGCGTCAAGGGACTACAGGAGAGACCCCTAAAGGGACCCTTGGGGTTATATAGGGCTTTATGAGGCTATATAATATAAGGGGTCTATAAGGGTTAACGGTTATATAGGGTATTAGGATTAGGGGTCCCTTCTAGGGGTCCCTCCTATTGTCCCTTAAGAGTGAGACAACCTACGCAGGCCTTGCATGGTATCAGAGGCCCGCTACCTGAAACGCCAACCTCTCTGCCCCTGCGTTCTAAACTCTACATACTACCATATAGTATTCTATATTAGTTCCTTTTGTGGTTTAACCTAATATAGATTGAGGATCCTATAAAGGTGATCCCAAAAGGAACTACAATGGAGACTATGGGTACAGTGAAACTACCGACCTCCTCCATGAACTAATGCAGGGGCCTTAATAACTAGAATTGGGTTTTGGGGGGGGTAGGGTTTAGGGTTTAGGGCTTAGGGCTGTGATCATAGCAAGGAGCCTATTGGTTAACAGCGAGAATTGGGTTCTGCGGGGTATGGTATGCTATGATTATAGCAAGGAACCTAGTGCTTCATAACGAGAATTGGGCTTTGGGGGGGATATAGTATACTATGATTGTAGCAAGGAACCTAGTGGTAATTATCTTAGGCCTTTATATACCCGATTCTAGGCTTCTATATATTCTATAGTACATGAAGACTGCTTCAGTTCGGGGTGTTCCACTGGCTCTGGCAGACTGCTTCAGACGTACTGGGTTCTTCCTAAGGAATTGGATTTAAGTTACCATATGTTACTATTACCATAATCGGGATCTATAGGACTATAGGAATTGATACGGTGACTTAGACTAAAGTCCCTAGCAAGAACCACATTTAGGGGTGTACCCAGCTCCTCATGCGAATCCAAGAATCCAGCCACCATCACAGCGGCTCGGCACGTCGCAGGTGAAGAGGTTCTTGAACGGGAAGCCGCTGTTCACCATGTCGTTGAGCAAGGATCCCGGAATCCAGGGACTTTCGCCAACTTTGTACCTGAGCCCCCGGATGAGATCGCTTCTAACAGCCAAACAATAACCACAACGACGACGACAACGACGACGACGACGACGATTGACGAAGACGACGACGGTGTCGAGGGAGTAGGAATTGAAGGCTCGACCGCACAATGTGCGTATGCACCCGCACATTAGCCTGGGGTTTAGGGTTTAGGGTTACGCACCAATGTATCTCACCAGGTACAGGAAATGAGCGCGAGCACTTCGTAGAGAATACGAGGCGCTGGTAGTACGTGTCCTGATCCCTGGCACAGGCCATCACATCGTAGATGGCGAACGGTCCAGAGATGCCTGATTCGTTTTTCAGTTTAGGGTTAGGGTTTTCAGTTCGTTGGTGAGGCGTCAAAAACTTCCGTGGACAGGCACGCAATCGAAGCAAACACGAACATAAGCCTACAGAAACCCTAAATCCTAAACCCGAAATAATGGTCATATGTTCAGGGCAAAGGCCACGGATAAAAACTTCGTGGTAGTCCTGGTATCGGGAAACCCGAATTCCGGTAGCACCACTTCGGATGTTCGTGCAGGACTTGAGGGTACAGCATGCGCACCAGCCATAAACTGTATGTACGCATGCGTACATGCATGCATACATATTTACATGCACGGAAAGACCTTTGTTTTCTACATACATATATGAAATGAAAGGTGCAGTTATCTACTTACGTAAACGTTTGTGTACCTCTGTGTATACATGCATATGTATAAAAATAAACACATATATATTATTTGCTTATTTATTTATAGCTTCCTGTATGAATATATATATATATATATGTATACATATATACACACACATGTGTGTGTGTGTGCGTGTGTGGCGCGCGTCTCTGTGTGTGTGTACACACACGCGTGCATATTTGCTTGCTTGCCTTCATGCCTGTCCGTCTGTCTGTCTGTACGCTTGTATGTCGTACGTTTGTATGTATGTACCGATGTGCACCACATTCTTGAAAGCTGGAAAGAAAACCTGAGCCCGTCCGTCAACTGAATTACAAAACCCTAGACCCTGAACCCTAAACACTGAACCCTAAACCCTAAACCCTAAACCGAACCCAAAACACTACAGGCAGGCTGTTCAGGCTTTGGGGTTTAGGGTCGAAGGTGTCGGCCCAGAGCTTGGGCTTTAGAGTTCAAGCAAGGTTTGGGTTGAAGGTCGGGTTCTACGGTTGATGATATACGGTATATTCCTTATTATGGGTAATGCAGGATTTATATCATCAACCTCGCCGATCATTCACGAATAAGCACATCAGGTTTAGGGGTTTAGGGTTTAGGGTTCAGGGTTAGGTTTGTGGGTTTAGGGTTTAGGGCTTACTAAGCCCATAGTGGAAACATGAGGGAACCGACAAGTGTCCCAACTACAGACCTACAGAAAGGCTCCACAGCCTCTGGCCCTAAAGACTACGAACCCCAAACCCGCACCAAAGCGCCCTTGAAGCGCGCCCTTGATCCCTAAACCCCGAAAGCACCAACGAAAAACCCTCACAGCACCCAAAAGTAGAACCCTCCATGGATCCCCTTATTAGAAGCCTGAGCTGGGCCGAAAAGTCTACGGTTTCGGCTTTAGGGGTTTAGTTTAGGGGTTTCGGGGTTTAGGGTTTAGGGGTTTAGTGGTTTAGGGCTTTCGGGGTTTCGGGGTTTAGGGGTTCAGAGGTTTCGGGTTTAGGGGTTTAGGGAGGGAGGTTCCTGGCATCTGCGCCTTTTCCAATGCCCTGAGACGAGCCCTTCGCGATGTCGTCCGTGGGGTTGACCGCCTGATTTGGGGGTTAGCGTACCCAGAGACCCCAATACCTTTTAATTAAGGAATATTACCTTAAACTATAGGGGCCTAAATATGTTTATGATTTAAGGATAGTCTTTAGCTAAGGGGTGTTGGGCTCTCTGGGTGTGGGCTTTGGGGTTGGAGCTCAGGGATGGGCGGCAGTGAAACGACTACCGAAACTCCAAAGCCGACCTCTACCTACCAAAACCTACCTTTTTGTAGGGCCCCGATAATTCCATGTTAGGGCCTATAATCAAAACCCTACAAAAGAAAAGTAGGTTTGGGTAGGCTAATTAAGGTACACCCTGAAGCACCGAAACCCCGGAACCCCCAGACCCTAAACGACCCGAAACCCCAGCTAAAGACTAGATCCCTAGGTTGGGCTCCGAAGCACACCTCCACACATCGTCCGGGCTTGCCTTTTCAGGAGCCTAGGGTTTAGGGGTTTAGGCTTTAGGGTTTGGGGGGTTCAGGACTTACAGTTTAGGGGTTTGGTGGCTCAGGGTTTAGGGCTTCGGGAGTCATACCCCGTTCGTTTCGGACGAGACCTGTGACCTGTGTTCTTAAGGGATCCTTATCCTTCATGTGACTTGACTTAACATAGGGGCCTTAATAATTAGAATAGTTTTTTTTTGGGGGGGGGGGGGTCCTTTATGGTATAGTTATAGTAAGGAACCCCCCAAAATAACATAGGTAATCATAGAGGCCCCTATACCACATTCCTTGGTTCGAGAGCGCTGGGAACCCTAAACACTCGAAGCACTGAACACTCTGTCCCGGGCCCCAAGCTGAATCAAGAAGCCCTTTAGACTCCCAAAGGGTCCTTAGGTACTGTCTAGGGTTTAGGGTTTAGGGTTTAGGGCTTATGGCGGATACTTTCTCAAGTCATAGTCACAAATGCCCCTACATTCTACTAGATAAGTACTTTGGACCCTTTGGGACTTATTGGGTCCTCTAAAACCCGAACAGCCCCCCTAAACCCTAAACCCTAAACACTCTCTTACTATATAATTTAATGTTTAATCACCTTCGTGACATTTGCTCAATTTTGAGCAAATGTCACGAATTTCAGCAGCTCGCCGGCGAGATCACTGCTGAAATTCGTGACGTTTGCTCACTTTCGAGGCTCGCCGGC